GAAAGTGATAATGGAAATGCAGCCAGTAGGGGGGAAGTATTAGCTGGACAACCTGGCACTAGAGTTCTGATAGGGAGGGACTGTTTTGACTTAGCAGAATAACTTAGGAGCTCTTTGCAGTTTGGAGCAAAGCCAAAAGAGCCTTGAATTCCCTTGTGCAAAAGGGAAAGGGAATTGGAAATGAGTGCTTGGGAGTCTACATCTAGAGGAGATTGAAAAAGGTAGGAAGGGAGGGAAGCTGGCAGCTGGTCCTGTCATAGTGCCACATGGAGGGATGGCCTATGATAAGAATGACTAAGGGACTCAGAACTCCTCTCTGAAACTCAGTTTCAAGTTGTTCCCCAAGTTGTGCTTCAATACAAGCTATCCTCTGTTTGCCCCCAAATCTTTTAAAAATATTTGCTAATATACCACCTTGTTTAGACCATATTTGGAGGAAAGAAGGGATTGGAGAAGTGTAGAATGGACAATGTGCCCAAGAGGTGAAATAAGGGGCAAAGATCAAGGCAGAAAATCAGTGCTAGAGGTTGTCAAAGGGAGCACACCCCCACCTCCATCTGTAACCTCCCCAGAACTCTCAGAGATATTGGAAGGGAGTTGAGTTCCATGTCATTCATAGGATAGGGGTTTGAGCAGAATTCTTTTACATCTCAAAAGTTGGGGAGGGGAGACTCCAGAAGGTTAGAGGACCCTGTAAAGTACATGGAAGATTGGGGTGGGAAAATTCACACACACTCACACATGCAAAAACTGCTGAGAAGGATACACAGCCTACAAAACGATGCTGAGATTATCAGCAATATTTATTTTCTTCTTTTAGTCATCTGTATTCTGATTCTTCTGTAATGAATCCATATTACTTGTGTAATTTTTAGAAATAAAAATGTACTGAGGTAGAGAGCTGATTGGTGGTAGCCAGGGCTGGGGAGAGGGGGTAATGGGGAGTGCCTGGTTAATGGCTATGGGTTTCCTGTTGGGTAATGAAAGAGTTTTAGATCTAACAGAAGTAGGGGTTGTATGACACTGTGAATGTGCCAAATGCCACTGAGTTGTTCACTTTAAAAAGATTAATTTTATGTGACGTGAATTTGACTTAAATAGAGAAAAAAGAAAAAACATCTATAGAGGCAAAAATATACAACATGAATCAGACTCTGTCACTCTTCTGCTTAAAATCCTTCAGGGACATCCTAACTCTTTAACATGGCAGACAAGGCTCTTCCTGCCCTGGCCCTGCCCCTGCTCCACCACAGCCACCCTTCCCCATCAACCTTACTCTCTAGCCATGCAAAACTGTGTGCCCTTCTCTGAAGGAACCTATTCTTTCCTGCCTCCATGCCTTTGTATGGATTTTCTTTTCCTGGAATGCCCTTCCCTTAGTTACTTTCCACTCATCCTTCAAAACTCAACATCTCCTTTGAGAAGATTTCCCTGATTCCGTAGTCAGGGGGTGCCTCCTCCCTGTAACCCAAGAATCTTTGGGACATTGCCCAATTTTTTTTCAGTTTATTTATTTATTTTGTGGGGGGGAGGGAGGTACAGAGAGAGGGGGAGAAAAAGAGAGAATCCCAAGCAGTCTCCACACTGTCAGCACAGAGCTTGACTCCAGGCTTGAACTCACAAACTGTGAGATCATGACCTGAGCCAAAATCAAGAGTCAGATGCTTAACCAACTGAGCCATCCCGGGGCCCCATGGGCCATTTCCCAATTTCATCGGTGTAGGGGACTGTGAACCCTTGAAGGACAGGGCCTGAGACTTTCCTCTCTTTAGCCTCAGAACCTGGCACAGGACAGAAGCCATGATAAATGTGAAATGAATAAGAATAGACTTAGTCATTGAAAGTGACCCTAGGCATGAAATTGAAAATGATCTAGAGATGTTTAACTGGCTTACTGTGACATTTGTCACAGAAGAATGGGAGATTTTTTCTTTTTCTTCTTACTTTTTATGAATTATTTAGGAATTGAAGCATAGATCAAAATTCCAAATAAAATGTCAATATAAATAGCAAAATGGTCCCAGATGGGGCTTAGATGTTTGCAGAATGCCGGTGGTCTCAGGAAAATAAAACTTAATTGTGTGACTCTAAACCCCTAATGAAATAATGGGTCTAGGCAAAAACCATCAATGGGTGCTAATTTTATTAGGTGGAAGGTTGATGTGGAATTTCATAATGTATGTGTCAGGCTGACACCGCTGAACCCCTGTTCAACCTTAGCATTATTGAAAGTGGGACAGCCAGACACTAACTGCCTCCTAATAAAATGCAGTAGGAAGTATGCATCACCACTTTAGAAAAAATCTTGCCCAAAGGATCAAAACTGATTTAATGTCTTGAATCACCAGTTTGTGAGAAATATAAAGGATAGAGAAGCCTGTTAAATGACACCATAAAGATCTAAGAAATCAAATCAAGAAGATGGGAAATTCCACAAGACAAAGGACTCCATTTCTTCAATAAATGAGTCATAGTAAGCAAAAGAAGAGGGAAACCATAGATTCAAGGAGATAAAGATTCAACTGATATAAATTTGAATAACCACAAGAAGATATTTTTGAGACAATCTGGGAAAATTTACATTGATTGGGTATTGATAGTATTTTATAAAATAATTTTTTGTTGTTTATTTTTGAGATAGCATGAGCAGGGGAAGGGCAGGGAGAGAGAAAGAGAGGGACAGAGGATCCAAAGCAGGCTCTGCACTGGCAATAACAAGCCCAATGTGGGGCTTCAACCCCAGAACCGTGAGGTCATCACTTGAGCTGAAGTCGATCGCTCAACTGACTAAGCCACCCAGATGCCCTGGCTATTGATAATATTAAGGAATGATTGTTAACTTTATGTGTGATAATGATATTTATCACATCATCATGTTTTTAAAAACTTTCTTATTTTTAGAGATTGAAGTATTTATGGTGAGATGATATGATGTCTTGAATTGGCATTAAAAACATTCCTAAAAAATATATGTTGGGGGTAGATGAAACAATGACACAGAATATTAATAATTGTTGCTTCTGGATGATAATGAGCACATGGATTCATTATACTATCCTTCCCTCTTTTGTGTATTAAAGAATAAACTTAACATTCAGCATCCATGTGGCACTGTTAATAAGCCCATCTACTGAGTCAGGACTATGTCATACTAAATGGCATTGTTGGACCAAAGGGAATGTCTTGGACCTTGAAGTAAAAAAAAACCCTGGGTTCAAATTCTAGCGCTGCTACTTACTAGCCCTGTCACCTTGAGCAAATTATTCACTTCTCAGAATTTGCTTGCTCATCTGTAAAGGGGGATAATATTACCTACTTCAGAAAGTTGGAGGAGCAAGTAAGATGATATATAAAGTGTCTAGCACTTGCCCAGCTCAGAATAAACACTCTGTAAGTGTTAACTACCTTGTATTAATCCAGCTATTTATTTCCTTTCTTGTTTTCTGAAACATAAATTTAAATAATTCCAAAGTTGATGAAGTGAAAAGTGAAATCCCCCCAATTTCACTCTCCAGAGGAAGGAACTACCATTGACAGTTTGTTGCTGGTTTCTCTCCAGACTTTTTCTTTATATCTGTAAATATATAAAAGTACATTCATCCCTATACATATGGTGTGGGTTATTTTTAAACAAAAATGAAATCATGTATTACATATTGTTCTGCAATTTACTTTTTCCACATTGCAATATTCAGCGTGTCTTTTTGTCAGTTCATGTGGCTCTGTACATGTGATTCAGTAAGTAATGCCGTTCATATGCATTTGCTCCCAGGTGTGAGCATTCCTGTGAACTAGAATCCTACAGCAGAATTGTTAGGTCAAGGGCACGTGTAGTGTATCTATCTTCATAGTACCCAAAATGGTTCTACTGCCCCTCCACAAGTTATTGACTTACTTTCATATTAAGACCTATTGTCTATACATTTTTAAGTTGCATGCTGGGAGGTACTGCCCTTACTGGTACCACTTATTTCTCAACAGGCACTGAAAATGTTTCAGAGGATAAATGTGTTGGATTAGCAAAAATCAGCCTCATGGAAAATAGCCGGGCTCCATTCTGCTATTTGTTCCCGTTAGAGGATAATGTGCTGCATGCTGTTTTCAAGGCTGAATGTAGCGGTGGATTGGATAAAATAAATGGGAGTCCTAGTTTTCTTTGTGAAAAGCCAGTGAAGATTATGTGAGGCAGGATCCTGAAAGAAAGCAGGGAATAAAAGCTCCTCTCAAAAGAGGTCCCAGCGGATGGCAGCTGTGAAAAGGTGGATGAGTAAAGAAAGAGGAAGTAAATCCTGCCTCAGTTCCCTGGGAAGTTCAAGATCTCACTTTTCCCTTCCGTTGTTCTAGTGACTTAGAGAGGACAATTCCAGAGAAAGATGGTTTTGAGAAGAAAAGAAATCCAAATGGAATTCAATTTGGTCTTACTTATGTAAGAGCACCTGTCATGTGGTGTACAATAGTCCCAGGCAGAACTCCCAAGAAAGACCACTTTGTAAACCACCCTGCTGCTGTGGGGAGGTCAACAATTGTCCTTTGTCCTTGCAGCCCTCCCATCACCCCACTATGGAATTGCTGGTCCAAACCGCTGCAGTAAGGTTTGGGCGAGGAGAAATTATTCCATTGTCTTTTAGAAATTAGATCAATAAGAGTGATGTCATTCATGATTTCCTTGGGTTCTGGCTGTTCCTGGTGTAGGAAATCATGTGCTGCCCCTTTGCTGCATATATTTCTCTAGACCCACAGGCAATATGGGCACATAGAAAATGACCCCATGTCAAGTGAGAATTTAAAGTTCCAAAAATCTTAACTTTTTTTTTTTTAGGTGAAGTAAAATCAACATTTAGTATAGTGATTTCTAAAATAATACATGTAAAAACAAATAAGTAAATGTCTTAGTCTCTTTTGCACCTGGGGATAGTTTTTTAATCTAGGTTATTAATTCAATAAAACATGGATTTGTATTTGACCTTTAAAACATTTTTTCTCTTTGATTTCTTTTTTAGCCCTGGATCAAATTCTTCTGCCGATCCATAGACAGGCGACCACAACAAATAACCAGTTTGCAAGTGAGTTTTAACATAGATATCTCCTTGATTTTTCTTTGACAGTTACCTTTAATTATTTCAGTAAATATTTAATGTCCCAGGTATACCGTCCTAGGTGCTAAGGATAAAGCAGAAGAAAACAACAAAAATTCTTGCCCTTGAGGGTTTACATGCTAGTGGGGGAAGATTCATTCATTCATTTACTCATTTGTTGAACAAGTGTTTATTGATTTTTTTTTTAGTGTTTACTTTTATTTATTTTTTGAGACAGAGAGAGCAAGTGTGTATGCAAGTGGGAGAAGGGCAGAGAGAGAGAGATGGAGAGAGAGAATCCCAACCTGGCTCCACACTCAGTGCAGAGCCCAATATGAGGCTCAATCTCACAACCGTGAGATCATGACCTGAGCTGAAATCAAGAGTCAGATGCTTAATTGACTGAGCCATCCAGGCGCCCCACATTTATTGATCCTCTAATATGACTAAAGCCTTAGGCCACACATTGTGCCTAAACAGGATTTTATCTCTGCCCTCAGAATACAGTGGGAAAAATAAGACATGTGTCCATTTTTCCCTGCTGCTCCCCATATACAAAGAGTACGGAAGAGTGGTTCAAAGGTGGTTTCTCAGAGGTGACAAGTAAGATGATACTGGAAGAACAAACTGATGAGGGGAAAAGACAGTCCAGGTGATGAGTAGTGATGAGACAGAGTGGGCCACAAGGCCCAGGACAGCTGAGGAGGTCAATGAATGCTGTTTAATGAATGACTGAAACTCCTCCAGGGGAACGTGAACTCTGAGAGGCAAGAGTTCTGGGAACTGCAAGTCCTTTCCTGTGGCTGGAATTTAAAGTGTGTAGGGATGATGGGCAGGAGATAGGGCTTGGGGAAAGAGGCAGGATCTGGATGTGAGGTAGGCCTGGCTAAGGAGCTTTGTTCCGATGACAGTTAGAAAATTCATGGGGGGGTGCCTGGGTGGCTCAGTTGGTTATGTGTCCAACTTCGGCTCAGGTCAAGATCTCATGGTCCGTGGATTCAAGCCCCACATTGGGCTCTGTGCTGATAGCTCAAAGCCTGGAGCCTGCTTCAGATTCTGTGTCTCTCTCTTTCTTTGCCTCTCCCCCACTTGTGGTCTGTCTCTCTCTCTCTCTCTCTCTCTCAAAAATAAATAAATGTTTTTTAAAAAACTTAAAGAAAAAAAGAAAATTCATGGATCATTTTAAATAGCATTATGACATGGTCTGGTTGTGTTTTATTCTTTTCTTAAGAAAAGTGTATTTTTAAAGCTTTATTTTTAAACAGTATTTTAAAAAATGATATATGTCTATTTTAGATGAACCTTTAGGGACTTTTTGTGTGAGCAATGATTTCATTATACTATTTCTGTAACTGGTACATTGCACATCTCTTTCTGCATCACAGTGGAAGAACCTTTCTCTCTCATTGGATTTGACACACAGAAGGCTCTCAGTAAAGATTTGCTGTTGTGAAATTCCACTCATGCTGGCAAGGGGCAGCTGGCTTAGATGAGGCCATGATCTGCCCCAAATATGCCACCCTGAGACACTGAAGCTTCACCACCTATCTGGGAATATTTAACAATTGCTTACTGCCACGTCATTGCCACTATATATATTTTTTTTATCTCTTTCTAACATTTTTACCATGGGAAAATTCAAATATTAATGTATAGGAAAGTAGAAAGGATAATATAATACACCCTCATGTTCCCATCACCCAACATCAACAATTAACAACTCATAGCAGCCCATCTCATCTCATTTATATCCTTATCTTTCCCTGACCACTGCATTATTTTGAAGTAAATCCCAGACACCATATCTTTTCATGTGTCTCTAAAAGATAAGAGCTTTTTTAGAAACATATCCACAATTATTACAACTAACAAAATAATTATTCTTTGTTGTCATCAAATATACAGTATTCAAATTCCAATTGTCTCTCTTTTATTTAAATTGGCTTATTGAATCATGATCTGCACAAGGTCCACGTTTGTATGGAGTGGTGTTTCCTAAGCCTCTTTCAATCAACAGGTTCCCCTCTTTCCTTCCTTCCTTCCTTCCTTCCTTCCTTCCTTCCTTCCTTCCTTCACCTTGCTAGCTGTTTATTTAACCTTAGGCTAAGTTGAAAACAACACTTTAAGGGTGCCATTTTCCTTCCTGCTCCCTTCATTGGTTTTTTTTTTTTAACCCCTGACAATTTTTGAGATAAAGAATTGTATCCCATTATTGCAAAATATTCTTTGAATTCGCAAAGTATATCTAATGTTGCCTGGTTGTTTCTAGCCTGCCAGCTTTATTCAAGTGCCAAGTGCATACTGATCATGCCATATACACAAATGAATTCTAGAAAATATAATGTTGAACATATTTTTAGAAAGGGAAAATGTTATCTAAACAGAAAAACAGTGGAGGATATTACAAAGAAAAATATCAATAGTGGGGTGCCTGGGTGGCTTAGTTGGTTAAACTTCCAACTCTTGGTCATGATCTCGTGGTTTATAAGATCAAGCCCCACGTTGTGCTCTGTGCTGACAGTGTGGGGTCTGCTTGGGATTCTCTGTCTCCTGTCTCCTTCTCTCTCTGATCCTCCCCTGCTTGCTCGCTCTCTTTCTCTAAATAAAAAAATAAACACTTTAAAAAGAAAAGTATCAATAGAATTAAATATATGCTAAATTAGAATTTTTTGGCCAACAAACACAAAATGGAAGGGCAAATGATGAGCTGAAAGGATAGTTGCCCTCTATGAGAGATATCAAGTTTGTAGCCTTAAACCATGTGATTGGGTCCAAATGGGTCCACTTACAAGATTACCCCAAATCCTGATTCTCTAGATCCCATCTTCCAGATTATCTGAAAGTTATGTTTTTCCACCCCCCCTCAGGATCCCCTGCCCCAATTATTCACTTAGAGGTGAGGGTGAGATTCTTACATTTAGTGCCTTTGTTCTATCTGTTGGTCTCAACATCCTGCTGCCCTATGGACCCCAGGAGCTATGCTGGGCCTCTGCTGACCTCATCTCTACCACCTGTTCCTTCCCTCCAGCAATCAGGAAAACACCCTTTACTTCTTATGACTGCTGATTTTCAAAGGAGTTTCCTGCAGAAGAGCTGCAGGGCCCCTAATGACCCAGTTCTTTTCATTATGCCATAGTCCCTTCTCCCAGAACTCACAAGCACGGTTGAAGTCAGAGGATGATCAGGCCCCTGTGGTACCTAAAACGTACCTAGCCTGACTCCCAGCATCTGCTGCATAAAGTATTTCCTGGCTACAAGGAAGGAAGCGGATGCTGACAAGATTAAGCAAAAAAGGAGTCTGTTCAAAGAACATTGGGCTGCTCATAAAATTGTTGCAAAGACTGGAGGAAACAATCTTCGAAGAAAATCACCCAAAACCATGCAGCTCAACTGGCCTAATGAGAAAACTAAGGATGTTGCCCCATCACCACTCAGCAACTACCTGCTGCCAGGAGCTCAGTTTGACTGTCACCACTGCTGCCAAAGGCATCTAGCTTCTTCTGCATCAGGAACTCAACCTTACAGACCATCCTGTCCCCCCAACCACATGGCTCTGCTGCCACCCTCGCCAGCAAGAGGAGTGCATTATTCATCTTTTCCCCCTCCAAGCCCCCTTCCCCACCAGAATCCCACACAAGTGCATCTGACTGGAGGAGCGCAAGTCACATTCCTGTGTTCTTGCTGCAAAAGAGCAGGAGAGGGAAGGAAGATTCTGTCTTCTAACTTGGTGGAACTTAAAAGGGAAAATCCTGCTAACATCAGAAAGGTATTCAAAATCAAAAGGTATTTGCTTGGTACCCAAAGACCAGGACAGATGTCCACCAGAATGAATGACTTAGGCTGGGTATGATGGGGTGGTTTCTCTGAGATAGAGTGGTCTTACATTTACTGATTAAAATATGGACTGGGTTAAATATGAAATGACATGCAAGGTTATTCATGGAGGCATTATTTGTAATAACAAAAGATTGGAAACTATTCAAATGTCCAGTAATAGAGATTTGGTTGAATAAAAATCATGGTACATCAATACATGCATGGAAGATAATGCAGCTGAAAATAAAGGAGGAGGCATGATCTTTAGAATGTAAGTAAGTGAAAAAAACAAGTGGAGAATAATATGCATAATAGTTAATTTTTCCGTAAGAAAGGTTGGGGATATATATGTAGGAATATGGGAATATATATATGGCTCAGCCATAGAAATTACCATTTTTTCTGGTAAAATGGTTCATTATTGGCAATTTCATACAATTCAATATAATATAGGGTGGAGGAGACATGGGTGAATAAGAGATTCTGCAAATACATTATGTATTTCTTACATTGGAATCATATAGATGTGTTTTACACATTCAAAACATTAAATTTAAAATGAACTCATACGATTTTAAGACAAACTGAAAACAGTGTACCTGTTTATCAAGTTAATGATGTAGCTGCATAGAGAAGACAATTATTTGAAATGATTTCAAGTGATACTACAATAGAGTATATTTGTTGTATGTACATTGTGGAATATATTTTAAGGGTAAAAAAATCTAATGCTTCATTCTACAGTTACATTGCTAGTAGTAGTCTTTGTGTTAGCATTTTGAAACTATTTTTATATAGTATAGTATATAGCAATAAATTATGTTAATGTTATTAGGAACCAAGATTTACAGTGTAAGAGAAGTAAAATGTAAAATCAAGCATTAATATAAATATTAATGTTAAATTTGAATTAGAAATGTAATATTAGGAATAATTAGAAATAACAGTAGAAATATTAAAAATTTGGTATTAGAAATATGGTTTTTATTTTTTTCAAAAATATATCCTATTTCTGTGCTTTTCAGAAGGGCCTAGAAGGATTAAAAACCCATGGACAATGAACAACCTGTGGTGTCCAGATTGTGGTCCCTAAATAACCTTTCCCATTTAAAGGACCCGGGACTTCTTGGATGGCTGATTCCAAGTCTGGGACAGTGCATGTACAAGATGAGGCAGGAACACCTTGCTGAGCCAAAAACTGAAGTTATCAAAGATCGGTGGGTTATATGGAAAGAACTCAAGAGCCCACAAGAAGGGGCCCCAATTGACCAAAAATGGGATAATTTAAGAATCTAAAAAAGTAGTGGTTGAATTTTATGGGAATGCATAGAATATATAAAAGCCTACTGAGTTCGTGGGGGAGGAAGAGTGCCAAAACAGACAAATTAACAAACTCATTGGATGCCATTGGTGGTAACTAGGTCACAATTCTGACTTTGAAAAATGGCAACTTAAGGGAAAAGAGTAAGCATTATGCTGCCTTTCCAATTAAATCTACATTTCAGGGTGACCAAATAGCTCTCTGAGGGCTATCAATGAGGAAGAGTTCTTCTTTACAGACAATTCCCAGCCAATAAGTGCAGAAGGAATGATGGAATTAGAAAAACCATCACTTTGCAATCCTAATGATATAACTGATTAAGGCAAAGATCAATAATGGATGAAAGCATTGGATGAAAAGCTTATGGAGAACTTTACAATGGAGAGATTTGGTTGACATCACCTGAATCTGCTGATCAATCTTTAGCAAGAGTAGGACAGCCAGATAACATGCACTTCTTGAGATGTCCCTTATGGGAAAAAAAAAGAACGTGAATCCAATAGGGCTTTTAGAACTAACCTCCGCTTACGTGAAATAAAGGAGGTAGAGGCTCAGATTTAAGTGCTGCTGCGAGGACATGAATGGATAAACTCAAAATATGAGATGTTCTTTTTTTTTTTTTTTTTAGAGAGAGACAGAGCATGAGCTGGGAGGGGCAGAGAGAGAGAGACACACAGAAGCCAAAACAGGCTCCAGTCTCCAGGCTGCCAGCACAGAGCCTGATGCAGGGCTCAAACCCACGAACTGTGAGATAATGACCTGAGCCAAAGCCAGATACTTAGCTGACTGAGCCACCGAGGTGCCACCAGAATATGAGATTCCATAAAACAACTGAACATCAAGTCAATGGCATGAAGAAAAAAATGGTGGGGCAAAGTGGGGAGAGACTATTCTAAATTTTAAGACACTCGAACATAACCATCAAATGCAATGTGTGTACCTCATCTGGATCCTGAGTCTAAAAAAACCAACAATAACGAAGATATTTCTTCAGTATCAGAGAACTGTGAAAATGGTCTAAGAATTAGATGATATCAAGGAATTGTTACTTTTGTTAGGTGTGTTACTGGCATCATGGTTATATAAGAAAATATTCGTATATTTTAGAGATGCAAAATGAAACATCGATAGACAAAATTACATGAGGTCTGGGATTTGCTTTAAATTTTTTTTAATGTTTTATTTAGTTTTGAGAGAGCGAGAGAGAGAATAAGTGGGAGGGGGCAGAGAGAGAGGGAGACACAGAATCTGCAAAGCAGGCTCCAGGCTCTGAGCTGTCAGCACACAGCCTGATGTGGGGCTCAAACTCATGAACCCGAGATCATGACCTGAGCCAAAGTTGGACGCTTAACCGACTGAGCCACACAGGCACCCCTAGGATTTGCTTTAAAAATGGTTCCACAGTAGGGAACCTGGCTGGCTCAGTTGGAAGAGCATGCAACCCTTGCTCTCAGGGCTGAGAGTTCAAGCCACACATTGTGCATGGAGCCTACTTTATTTAAAAAAATTTGTTTTTAATTTATTATGAGAGAGACAGAGAGAAGGTGTGCAGGGGAGGAGCAGAGAGAGAGAGGAAGAAAGAGAATCCCAAGCAGGCTCCGTGAGGTCAGGGTTCGAACCCACAAAACAGATCATGACCAGAGTCAGTCGCTCAACCAATGGAACCATCCAGGCCCCCATAGGGCTTAATTTAAATAAATAAAAAAAAAAAACAAATAAAATGCTTCTGCAGAAAAAGGAGAAGGATAGACAAAGCAAGTGTTGTCAAATCCTAATAACTGCTGAATCTGAGTAATGGGTATATACTATTCTTTTTAATTTTTTTTTTTTTTTGAAATTTTCCATAGTGAAAAGATAATGGAGACAGGCAAAATAGAAATCAATTCAGCCTGATCTTTGTATACCGATGGAGCACATACGTGGAAAAGTTATGGCAAAAGAGATTGACTTGCGGTCACTATCAGAGTGAAGGGGGAGTCACAAGCACCTGTGATGTCAGCGATCACGCCTTGAATGATGTGACCTTGGCAGGAGGACGGGCTGTTGGTGGGTTTAACAATTCTTTCTCACGTCTCCTTTTTCCTAACACCTGAGGTGGCATCTCAGCACATCCAAGTAGAGTGCAGAGCAGTGTGCAATGTTCTTTTGCATCCAAAAAATGCTAATCACACGATATCTTTGCTAATTCACTGGGGAATAATTTTGGGTTCCATAAGTACATCTTAAGATTTAAATGGAACTGGGAAGAATTTAACAAGAATTTAACATGTTGATTCTGTACGGATTGCCCCTCATCCCACCTCTCCTGACACTTCCTCTGTGATCATCCTGTTTGAGTAAGGGTGCTGGGTGAGGGAAGAAGAAACATTTTTTTTAGAGGAAGGATTACAAAAATTGGGGATGCAACCACAGCCAAGTGTGTGACCCCTCTGCATTCCAGAATGTGGGGCAGGTGGATATCATCAATTGACCAGCCCTCTTGCCCACTGGACTTGGCTTCTTGCCACACTACTCCAGGCAGCACCATATGGATGAAGTCTTCCTACTTGAAACGTCTTCAGACTGAATTGTAAAGCATTTGCCTCGCTGCTTTTTAATTTCTACAGTGGAACAAACAAGAAGAAAAATATCTTGAATAGAAACTCAAGGAATTTGGATTAGATTAGATGTGAAGAACAGCCTCACGTGAGGAAGCTGAAATGTGGAATAATTACGGCACTTAGAAAGATTATGATACTTTTTCTAAAACATCTAGTAAAACTGGACAGATTCTAATTGTCTGGGATGGTCCAGGAATGATGAAGTTGACAACATGTTGTCTTTTGGCCTGTGTCAGGGCATCTAGCATTTTTGCCTGCCCAGCATCTTTTTCCCATCCTCCTTCTAACAGAAAATTCTTTCCTTTAGAGGAATGTACTTTTGGGAAGGAGCTGCTGCTTCCCTTCTACATTTGGTTTTAACTGTGCCCGAAGCAAGATTCAGTCCTGGAGAATTTAAATGTGAGCAACAGGGGTGCCTGGCTGGTTTAGTGGGTAAAGTGTGTGACTCTTGATCTTGGGTTTGTAAGTTCAAGCCTTATGTTGGGTATAGAGATTACTTAAAAATATAATGTTAAAAAAATAGATACATAGACAAATAAGTAAATAAGAACAACAATAAATTGCCTCCTCCTCCCCCTTCGTTTGGATTGTGCTAATGTCATTTCCAAGGAAAGAAAGTCTTGATTAGCATGGCATGTGAGATGCTTCATTCATTCCATTAACATTTATTAAGCTGTTGCAGTCTTTTTGACACCCTGGATATACAGAAAGGAAAGACAACCTTTATTTCAAGGTGTTCACAGTTAAAGAGACAGTTACGATACAGTAGTTACATAATAGATGACATAGTACTTAATAGTTCCAAGCACTATTTTAAACATTTTGCATATACTAACATTAAATTCTTAAAACAACCCTTTGAGATAGGTTCTGTTACTTTTTTCATTTTTGGCACAGGGAAAGTGAGGCACAGAGAGGTTAAAGGAAATTGCCCACATTTACCCAGTTCAGGAGCTGAAGACCTGGGATTTAAACCAGGGTAGCCTGGGTTTTAACCACCACATTCTAGAGCTTTATTATCCCTAAGGATCAATGTTGGAATTATCCTGGAGAAAAATCAATAATAATGGCTACCATTCAGTAAGTGCTTCCTATGTACCCAGGTGCATTTCTGCCTTAACACATGAAGGCTTTTGAAAGATTTAATGCAGCAAAGATTAGGAGCCTCAGGGAACTGAGGCTCAGAGAGGTTAAGTGACTTGCAGAGATCACCCAGCGAAATGGCAAAGGGTGAATTTGGTCCGGTCATGTTCACTTACAAAGCCTTTGCTCTTTCTGTCACATTTCCCTCAAGGACCTTACCTTCCAGCTTTTCCACCAGAGGACGCTGTTCCGGGTCTGCACATGGTCATCTTCTTGTAGCTTCACATGGTGAGGAGAGAGAGGAAGCAAGCCCTATCTTGTCTCTTCTTATCTCAGATGCTTATGACTGGCTGCCACTGACTGGGAAAGAGAATCTACACTGGGAATCGTCTAACATCAGAGAGTAGGTCATATTTTGCTCCCAACAGTACTCTTGTAATTTGCGTATATACCTTGCAACCTGACTCCTGAGAATATATCTGCTCAGTGGGGGAGAGATTAAGAAGCTCTGTGTAAGTGTTCCTTTGGGAAAATAAAAAGGATGTTATTTATTTATTATTGTGGCAGCCATTCAAATGTTGAAGGAGGAGAAACTTGCTTTTGTTCTGCTTCCTGCCTTCAGGCCAAACATGTGAATAAGGCTCTTGGATAAGGTATGTGTCAGGTGTCCTGAAGACCAAGTGCCTATTTCATTAGAAGACCAGGCATTGGAGGCGGTATTTTGGTGGGAGATTTTCTGTGATCCACAGTAGGCACTTTTGTCTAGCAATACCACCCCCAATATAGAAGAGGCTCTGATGCACCTTCATGGAACTAACTCGGGATTAACTTCCAGAAAATTTATCAGCTAAGGCACACTTGGGAACTCCTGCATGCAAAGTTTATGGGTGCTTACTAAGCACTTTAGGTAGATCAACTAATTAAGTCCTTACAACAACACCATTTACAAGTGAGAAAAATGTGGCACTAGAAAAGAAAGAACTGCCAATGGAGTTATAGATGTTTATCAGGAGGCAGTGATGGTTGCTAACAAACCCATTTCTTCTAGGCACATATGGTATCATTTAATTAAATAAAGTGTAAAGCTGTGAAATAGAAGTGTAGAAAGTTGAAATATTATTTCTATGAAAACTAGGTTGAATGTTTTGGGAAGACCTGAGAAAGGTGTTCCCTCCAAAAGTGCTATTGAATTAGGTATGAGCAAGACCACGCTCTTTCCTGTCTCCATGACTGTGCCTGTCACAGCTGATTAGAAGGTCTTTCTCACCTTTTCCTCCTCCGAATGCATCCTCCAGGATGACGTCTTCTTCTTGTTCTTCTTCTTCTTCTTGTTCTTCTTCTTCTTCTTCTTCTCCTTCTTTTTTGGTTTAAACAACAAAAATTTATTTTTCACAGTTCAGGAGACTGAGAAGTCCAAGACCAAGGTGCTGGCTGACTTTGCTCATAGTGAAGACCCTGTTCCTGGTCTGCACATGGCCGTCTTCTCCTTGTAGCTTCACATGGTGAGGAGAGAGAGGAAGCAAGCCCTCTCTTGTCTCTTCTTATAAAGACGCTCATCTTAAAGAAGATGTGGTGTTACTCGGCAATCAAAAAGAATGAAATCTTGCCTTTTGCAACTACATGGATGGAACTGGAGGGTATTATGCTAAGTGAAATTAGAGAAAGACAAATATCATATGACTTCACTCATATGAGGACTGTAAGAGACAAAAACAGATGAACGTAAGGGAAGGGAAGCAAAAATAATATAAAAACAGGGAGGGGGACAAAACAGAAGAGACCCATAAATATGGAGAACAAACTGAGGGTTACTGGAGGGGTTGTGGGAGGGGGGATGGGCTAAATGGGTAAGGGGCACTAAGGAATCTACTCCTGAAATCATTGTTGCACTATATGCTAACTAATTTGAACGTAAATTAAAAAAAATTTTTTTTTTAAATTAAAAAACAAAAGAAAGACGCTCATCTTATCGTGAGGGCTCCACCCTGACAACCTAATTACTTCCCAAAGCCTCCATCTCTAAATATCATCACATTGGTGATTAGGGGTTCAATGATTTTGGGGGTACATAAACCCAATAGCATAGGTCAAAATAAACTTGGCAACTGAAGTCAAGTCATTGCAAAGTCTTTATATAGTTATTGTCTCAGTCACCAGGTCACTTTTAACAGCTCTCTCCCCATGCCACACTAGGATAGTGAATTGACCATTTAGCCCTTTGATGACTGAAGAAATGTTGTAGGCCTTTACCTCCTCACTTTATTCTTCCTCTCACCACGTCCATTGCTTCCTTTCACCCACATGCCACCCCTCTACCAAAACCCTTGATTCTGAAACCTCATATGGCATTTAAGTTTCACTCCAAAATGAAAATTCTCTAAAAAACTTCTTTGTATTCTGTCATTTGAGGTCCTGCCCTTTCTCACTGTCCTCCAAGATGACCTCTTCTAAGAAGCCTTCTCTGGTAGCCTGAGTTTTACCAGTTTGGCTACTCATAATGGCAAGTTACTTACTCTCTCTGAGTCTTGGGAGTCTGCATCACTGAAATGGAGATAAGATTATCTACCTTGCAGGTCTGCCATGGGGATTAAGTGAGATGATGCTTGTAAAGTTACTCAACAAATGGTAATCATTGTGATGTGCTTGGTCCCATGCTAGGGCCTACAGAGCAGATGAACGAGACAGCCCCTCCCGCAAGAAGCTGCAGATGAGCACATGACTGTCTGCCTGCTTTTGGCTTCAATTGCCCTGTAGTGAGCTGAAGCAGATTTTCACAAATATAAATGGAGACTTTTCTAGATGTTTTTAGACACCGACACCATTATGTCATCCAAGTTCTCAGTTAGCATTTGAATAATGCATCCTGAAGGCCTGAAGGGCATCACCACAGAGCCTTTCCAGATATGACTTTCTTATACTTCCTCACAAAATGATTTGTCCTGATGCTTAAAGGGCCATCAGAATGGCTTTAAGGGAAATAGGTTGTGATTCATGGAAGCCACATGGAGAAGACTCTGGAATCTTTTCTCGCTGAGTTCAAATCATGGCTCTACTGGCTATTTGACTCCAGAACAGTTATACAATGGCTCTGAGTATCAATTTTCTCATCAGAAAAGTGGGAATAATAATTCTTATTTCATAAGAGGGTAAACAAGCAGACTAAGATGAAGCGTCAAATGTTCGGTACAGTGCTTGGCAGATAGTCCATACCTAATTCATGTTAGTTTCCTAATAGGTGAATTTAAGTAGGTAGGAATGTAGTGGGTGCACATCTAAACTGTGAGCTGAGGGACTTCAAGCAGACCTTCTTCAGTGGTTTCTTTGTGCCACTGTCACAAAGACTGTGGTCTGGGCAGCCCATGGGTCTGACCTTGCGCTTGGTCTCTTTCCAGTTTTCCAGTAGAAATGACTAATAATCAAATTATTATTCCATTATTTAAGTTGTGGGTTTCTCTTGAGTGAGGTAATCAGCTTCTGGGAGCCTCCATTTCTCTGTTTATAGCAGCTTGCAGATGCAAGAGCCTTGCAAGAAACAATGAAAGGAATAGAACTAATGAAATGCATCTGAGGCAGCACGGATACTCATAGGTACCTGATGAAATGTGGCTACTAATATCATAGCAGGAGACCTTCTTTTTGAAGTATAGTTGGGCCAGTTGATTCAAAAAGTTGATTCAGGCAGGAAATATTAAAAAAAAAAAAATCCTTCACCATGCCCTACCAGTACCACTAAGATCATCAAACCTGTTAATTTCATCCCTCATGGTAGCTCCCATCCCCACTCCTGGCCTGTATGGTAGATGTGAGTCACCACCTCCAAAGGCTACAAATACTGCTCCAGGCATAAATTTTGACTTGCAACTTTGCAGGCTTTCCTGCTCACAGAGACCACATACGTGACCATAGGCTGAAGTCGGAGGAGAAGGGAGTGGGGGTGGCCCTCACCATGGACCACAGAAGAGGAAGATGTGGAGAAATCTGAAAGGAGGAGGTGGTTGGGGAGAACTGGAGGGAGGTGGAACCATGAAGTGGGAGCTACTTCCGTGGCCAGCTGTTCCTCATGCAGCAGGGCATCGCGGCCTGCAGAACTGGGCTGGTCCTGAGCACCTGGTTTGGAATGAGCACTTTTGCCCTGGAGGCCTTGGCAAGATTTCTTTCCCCATCCGACCCTTCCCATGTTGGCAACATTGACTCTTGTAAGTCCCAGAATGTGGGGTGAAGGGATGTGGCTTCCTGGAGAGGTTATGGTGTCCTGAAGGGAAACGGAAACCCCTTGTCTCCTTGTCAAAGTAATACTGAACTGAACCAGTTTGGCCTTGCCTCCATGTTGGGATGGCTGGGGAACACCCCACTATGTTAAGCATATTGTAAATTATAAACTCTATTGATTTAGGGCTCTGTGTTTCTTTTTTCTTTTCTTTTTTAAGTTTATTTATTTATTTTGAGAGAGACAGAGAGAACGTGAAGGGGGGGGTGCAGAGAGAGAGAGGGAGAGAGAGAATCCCAAACAGGCTCTGCGTTGTCAGCAGCCCCCCAATGGAGGGCTCGATCTCCCAAAACTGTAAGATCATGACCTGAGCCGAAATTGAGAATAGGATGCTCAACCGACTGAGCCATCTAGGTGCCCTGTAGAGCTCTGTGTTTTTGAGTCAAACTGGAGCCTACCTCCACTCTGAACTGGAACCATACAGTTAAGGCAAGATCCACCTGCTCATATTATAATCAAACACACACTTCTGATTTAGTTGTTCTTGCAGTTTAAAATTAGACGTTGTTGTCAGAAAAAAAAAAAAAAAAGAAAGAAAGCAGCTGTGTTTCAGTGCTATTCAGATCTGTGACTGACCCAGTTTTCAAAAATTAAAAATGTGGCATTGGTATTCATCACATCTTTGCGCCTTGCTCACATTCTTAAGATGAGCATTGAGAAGTGTTTTCTGAGCTGTGAGGCTATGGAAAAGAAAGGGCCTTGACCAGCCCTCCAGCAAAATTCCAGAGGTCCAGATCTTGCTGAGATTTACCTTCCCATGCTGAAAGGAAGATGGCAAAAGAGACCTCTCCGAAGGGTAACCAGGAAAACCGTAAAAACCAAAATAATCATGGAATTGTTTATGCTAATGTTCTCAATATTTTTGCCACCACTACCCTCATGATAGAAGAGAGCTACAGAGTTGAAACCTTACTCAACCCTCCCCTCCCATCCCTGTGTGCAGAGGATCTGGCTGCCAGGATCCTCCCCCAAGCCTTGTGAGAACGTTGGTGGTTTATTCTAAAGATACCAAATGAATTAGGACTGTCCTCTGTGTCTGGTCTTTAGGATTTCCAGAGTGCCTGGTTATCTGCGTGCTTGTTATATAAAGCACAGCTCTCTGCCTTCCCCAGTGGGAGTTACAGGCGGCTCCCCTCTTGTCCCATACTCAAGCATGTGTACACCATCAAATATGAGCGGACATTTAAGGAAAACAGTAAAGACAAGATAAACTAACAGAAACAAGTAGTAACACTAGAGGAAGTCAAGATAACTCAGGGGGAACAAACAAACAAAAAACTAAGGAAATGCATTTAAAAGAATCATCTGGGGCGCCTGGCTGGCTCAGTTGGTAGGTATCTGACTTCGGCTCAGGTCATGATCTCATGGTTTGTGAGTTCAAGCCCTGTGTCAAGCTCTATGCTGACAGCTCAGAGCCTGGCACCTGCTTTGGATTCTGTGTCTCCCTCTCTCTCTGCCCTTCCCCTGCTCGAACTCTGTCTCTGTCTCTCTCTCAAAAATCAGTAAACATTAATAGAATCATTTGGGGGTGCCTGGGTGGCTCAGTGGCTTGTGTGTCCAACTCCTGATTTCAGCTCAGGTCATGATCTCAGGGTTTGTGGGGTGAAGGCCATGTTGGGGTCTGTGCTGACAGCACAAAAGCTGCTTGACTCTCTCTCTGCCCCTCTTCAGTGTCCTCTCTCTCTCTCTCTCTCTCAAAATAAGTAAATAAACTAAAGAAAAGAAAAGAATCATCTAATTAGTATGCTCATAAAAGATGGTGCATCCACAAAATAAGAGCAGGTTGTTATGAAAAAGCAAAAACTCAGAGTACAAAATGAAGGCTTTCCTAAAGGTGACAACAGTCCTAGTAGTTTCTATGACATCACCTAAAATGATCTGTGAAGCAAAAAGGAAGTTTCCTAAACTATCAACTGCAAAAAGAATTTTGATTCAACCACAAGGGACTGAATTATCTTTCTATGCTCTCCTTTGCAAATGATATTACAAAATCGTTATCCTATGAAGAGGGCTATCAAAAAGTAAGCAGCTAAAAGTTATAGTGAGAAAAAAGCATATAGAGGTGCGTCATGTGGTGAATTAATAACAAGCTTTGCTTTTCTCTGGCTGTGAGCCTTCTAAAAGTTGTGCTGTGCTATAATTTCTTTTCTTACTCTGAATAAAAATGTACCGTCAGCTATAATTCTGTATTCATAGTTTAATATCCTTTTTTTTCATGTGTGTGTTGCCAAAGCGAGTGCAATATTCTTTTTTTCAGGCCCCACAAAACCTGCATGTGCCCCTGGCAGTGAGCTCCATGGCCTGTGGATAGAACCAAGAAGGTGGCAAATGAAC